CTCACATTATCAATTTGGAACAATTTATTGCTCTGAATGATTTTGCTCAAGCTTGTCAGTAATTCTAAATGAGAGCCCCATTTGCTCCAGTTAAATAACAGATGCTTGAAATAAAAAAATTACAGATATTACGTAATAAAGCTAATGGAAATACCTCAGAACAGAATATGATCGAAGACAACTGCTGATAAGCCAACCAGCAATGAAATGATATCACAAAGTTAAAATGGAAAATTTTGAACATATTAAAATTTCTTTCCCCCAGGGACCAACTGAGCAAGAGGAAATTTAAAGGTTCTTCCAAGTGTGACACAAAAATATTCAAAGCCAAGTACACAGACCTTTGAATTTTCCAGCTGCTTTAAGTGGCACATGTTACTGCCTTCCTTTTTCCAGAGGAATATCTAAAGTAGAGTAGAACAGGTATCTAAGATCATGACTCTAAAATAGGTGGGAGAAAGGTAAGTTTGCTGCCCACAGAAAATAGTTTGATGTCTAGTTTGCACTTGGCACAACTCAGCATGTCTTCCTGGGAGCACAGAGCAGGTATGACCCACCCAGGCACAGCATGACAAATAATCTAGGTTTCTGAAACCCTTCTGCTAAAGAACTTGGCAATGCCACAGAGCACTTCTCAAATCAAACAAATATTTTAAGGAGCAAGATGGGGGAAAGCACTGAAGAACCCCTTTGACACAGATAATGTCCCCGTCACTGCTAACTGCCAGGAATCACCACTCTTTGTACTAACACTAACATTTGTTCAGCTGTGACATTAACCACAGAGAACAAACAGCATTACCAGAAAGGACTACATTTTGGCAGACACACTCCATGGCAAACCATGGTGCTCAGTCTTCTACAGAAATAAAAGCACGTCCAGGTGACCACTCCCTTCCTCAAGCTTCCTTTTTCAGAAATCCTACAAAAAGGCAGTTCCAACTGCACTGCAAAGCACATGGAGAATCATAATTTCCTTGATTATTTTGCAAGGTACAGTGGGAGCCGAGATGATAAACCTGCACTAGGTGCAGGGTGGTTGCCCTCCTGCCCCATCCCCACATGCAATGCTCCCAGTACTGCTGGCACATTGGGTCTGAGAGAGCTCCTGGAGCCAGTACTGCTAGCTGGGTACCACAAGTTCACAGCTGCCAGGTAACTGCAGCCTGAGCATGGCCAAACTGCTTCACAATGTGTATCGGTGCCATGTGGGATTGGTAAATGAAGGGAAGAGAATGAGACCGCAGGGAGACATCCACAACACCTACTGCAAAGTCCTGTTTTCTGCAGTAATGTTAAGATAGAGCGGTGTAATTTGATGTTTGTACCTACTTCCCAATACTACTAAACACTATTAAAAAAGTAAGATTTGCCATGCTTAATAGGGACATATACACTAACTTTAACTCTGAAGCTCACAACTGTGTGTTTACATCAAGAAACTTAAAATGACTTTTAGCTACATAATGGTTATATATTGCACAACTACACATTGATCCCACTCACAATCAAACCACGAGCTCAGTAGGCTTTCTGTTAAAGTGTTGTCATCCATCAAACCAAAACACCAGTGATCCCTGTGTTACAGGGAGATAGAAGTACTGAGTGTTTATTATAGACTGCAAATGTTTTTTGCAATAATTTTTTCAGAGCCAGCAAAATTAATCTGCATAAGATTTCATCATTATGACTGCATTCATCGATACAATTAAATTGTTTTAGAAAAATTGATGAAGTTAGGATCCTAGCAAAAGAAAAGTGCATGCACAATTTTAATTTCAACTAATTTCAATTTAGATTCTATTTAAAGGTTTTACTAAATCTGTTCTAATTCTAGAAGACTTTCTGCAAACTGACAGCATCAGCAAGTATTAATCAGCGGATAAAAAGGTTTATTTTCTTGCTAAGCAATTAAAATTTCAGAAGTTAAATATTTATCTTTTGATTGGGAATTATCAATGGGCTTAACAGAAAAACAAGGAATTTCTTGGCAAACATCCAGACAGAAATGGTTTTGAATGATGTATTTTGAGCAGCAGCAAAGAAGGTACCTTGCACAAGGTCAGTATACGCTGTGGAGCATCAAGAGCTTAGCAGTGCATTCATTCAGCTGGAGGATGAAAAGATGGAGACAGGAAGGAGGCTTCACCACCTCTGGATATGCCAAAATTTGATGAAACCAAATGGAATCAAATGAAATTAAGTTCCTATTATGTTTGTGGAAAAATGTATGGGGAAAAGAAAAGCACTGAAATTGATAGGTTAAATTTTCTTACAGCTGCTAGAGAGGTATTTTACACCAAATTTTAAACCAAAATTATTCTGTTAGTTTCCTCCCCTCTACAGGTTTTATACCACTGTTCCCCAAGCAGTGAACATGACCTTAATAGGTGTGGCAAAGCTCCAAGATGAGTACTGTGATGGCCACTTGTGGCTCTCCTAACACACGTTTTCCAAACTAAGAGTAAAGCTGTTCTCTGTGCAGGGGAAAAAAAGTTCAGGGCTATTGTGAGACCATAAACATCCCCAGAACTTGAAGGTGGTTACAAACCTTGCCATATTCCAGCAGCTGCGCCCAGCACATGTCCAAGCCTCTTGGCTTCACATGGGCAGCATCAGATCAGCAGTGCTGAGTGCTCACCTAAGCAGCCATACACAGGACTTACTCTGTTTCTCTGCCTACAGCAGGGCCAAACCCAACCCAGGTAACGAAGAGGCTGTTCAGAAGAGGATAGGCAGTTGGATATATAATAATCGAGTCAATCTCTGACCTCGCTCTGGGTGATGTGTCACTGCTGCTACACCTCTCCATCTGGAAGGGGACCGAGCAGGGAACAGAGGATTGCTATTATTGCAGGCACCTTCTCTACTCAGTAAACAGACAACCTATTCCTTATATTGTAAAAATAGAAACACTTATGCTGCATAGAAGGAAGAGGAAATACTTACTGGCAAATATTTTAACAGCTTATCTTACTATCTTTTTGGAGTGTGCAAACACGGCTAGCTAATGTCACTAACATCTTGGATTATCTTTCAAAAATACATTCAAACAGATTCATTAAGCTGGCCGGATGAAAATATATAACCCAGGATGAACAGAAATAAAGCAGATCATGATTTCATGAACAGAACCCCAACCCACGCTACCACTGCCAACTTATCCCCTGAGATAAAAGGGAGTGCAAGAGGAGCTTGAAGTAAAAGAAATAGCTCGACTGTGTGGCCAATGGATAAATACATATCAGTTGTGTCAAATTTTGGGGGTGTGGAATTAATCTTCTAAATTTGTGCAACAAGTCTTCCAAAAAGTAGCACATTCCCTCCCCCCCAGCCCTGAACAGGCATGTTCTTTTTCCCAGTTTAATTGACGGGTTTGTGCCACTGAAATCAGAACGGGAATCTGAAGCAGTACGCCAAAAACTAGTAATACAGAAGAATTCATAGAAAGTGCCAGGCTTTACGTTACATATGATGCACATGTGAAAAGCTACTGGGAAAATATCAATCTACAACTACTAAAAAGGAACTGTGAAAATGGGGTGAACTGCTGCATACATCTTCACAATACTGCTATTCCACAGCTTCAAAAATGTAACTAAATTAAATTGCTTATGCAAAATATTTGATTTGTGCTTTCATTTACTAAGTCTGGGAAGCACATAAGTGTTAACTTGGCAGTAAACCAATGCGTTCAGTAGAAATGTCACTGACAGAGCAGACAATTTTTCTCTTTAACTTTGCCAGGATTACTTTTATCTGTACAGAGAGAAAAGGAGATATTTATGTTAATGAATCTCTGCCGTGGGGTTTTATCTTAGTTTAGTGGTTCTCACCACAGTAAACAAGCAAAACCCCAAACTAAGTCATCCACACTTTTACATACTGTACATAAGTACTAATATGCATATGGCACTTTTTTGGTAGTTCAAAGAAGATACATTTCTTACATTCCTTATCAAATAATTAACTTCACATAACTTCAAAATCAGATACTGCCCAGTTACCATGCCATGTTCCATCAGTTAATTGCCTTTAATTAATTTGTTTGTTAATTATGCTTTCATACTATCATACTTCCTAAAACGAAGATCCAAAAAAATTTCAGTACTGATTTAGGTGTTGCATCCTTGACCAATACTCTTTTAGGGTTACATTTAGTAGGGTTACATCATCCTACTACAATTAGTAGGGTTACATCATCCTGAGATTACTGGCGACCAACCTGAATCCATTAAAAAGCACAGAATTGCCATATGATCCACCACAGCTTTTTTGCTGATACATGGGATGAGAAAAACCCCTATCATAACATCTTGGTAATCAAATCAACAAATAGCTGATGTTGGTATTGGTACTTAATAGTACACCATAGCTTGTTTTATAATAAAGATAGAAGAGAAAGATTCAATTAAATAAAATATCTTCAATACCAATCAACCCAAAACATTTGCACAAAAGCCTTGAATTTGCAAAACGTTTCAGTGCCTGGAAATGCTGCTATATCATCTTTAAGACAACATGTTGCAAATAAATTGAAGTAGCAAAACTATGACCCAGGCTTCCCAGCCATCAGAAACCACAGTTGCCTATTCTGCGTATAGTAATATTGTTCCATCACACACGAATGCATGAAATGATTCATGATGCTTCTAAGTCGTTGGCCAGCTATCTCTATGATGCAGGAAAGAAGGGATTAAAAAAAAAAAAAAAAAACCCCAAAAAAACTCCTGTATTTTAGGTAACCATGATTAGGTAACTGTGTCACGGCTAGCAGATTATGAATAGTAAATTGTCCAAGCTATAAACAGCATTTCAGAATGTGAAATATGTTGTACATTTCTGCAGAAAACAAGCTGAATATGAAAAAGGGGAAAGCAAATAATAGCTATGGCATGAGGGACAAATTCCCCCTCCCTCCGATCACATGCGAAGTTAATCTTTCTTTACCTGTGCTTTGCAAGGCTTCAATAGAAGCATTTTTTGAGTTTCAAGCTCACCTTTTTGGGAAAGATTTGGACGAGAAACAGAAAAGCAACAGCAATCAGTGTTGCTGATCCCACGATCCAGGAGAGACATTTGTACAAGCAGCACCTCCTAAATAAGGTAAGAGAAGTCTAGATGTCTAGCTGTAACTAAATACAGACAGAAACTACTTTGGAGCCTAAGACCAGCCTGGACAAACACCTGTCAGCGGTGATAACAGACTCAGCAGCTGCTGCCTTAGGGCACACATGGGCTATGCAGCTCTGATACCTTTTTTCAGAATCTGCGCTGTGATTTGCACGCAATAACTGCAGGTCTATCTAGAGCATTAAAAAAGTAATTTATTCAAGTCAATCTATTCACAGGAATTCTCATGCTTTTAAGTCAGATAAACAGAAAGCTGGAATTATGCAGCTCAGTTCTGCTGACGTTGGACACTGTTACTATACGTAGTAATTCTGCAGATATGAACATCAGTCTGCTATAAACATCACAACATTTGCTCATACACATATCAGCCACAGAAGTATGTAAGCTGCAGAACAACCATTCACTCAGAATTATTTTACCAGCAACACAGTTCTGACAGCAGCAAGACAAGGCAGCAAGGCAGAGTTTTTACTGAGGCTGGATCTCATCATTAACCCCATGTAAGCAGCACTGCTATGTTCAGTTACAGTACTACCCCCAGCTGCTTGTTGTGATGTCACTCAGCCAGCAAACTGTGTTGAAGCAAGTCACATGCATGATTACACCATTGCTCAAACAGATCATTATTAATACTCGTGTGAATGGCTATGAATCCAGATACTGTGGTTACTGAAGATGATAGCTGATGGTCTCCTGTCACGGATTTGACCAGATCAATCTATGTCCGTGAAAGGGGCGACAGGCCTCTGCCCTCCCCCCCCCACCCCAGTCCCACAAAAATGGGAAGGAAGGAAGGGAGGAAAAGAACAGCGGCAACAATCTATGGAGGAAAACTTATTTTACTATAATATTGGAATACAAGATAACACAATATATACAATTTAATTGAAATTGAGATTAATAAATCAGACAAGATAAGAGAGAGAGTTCCCGGGACCGAGTCAAACCTGAAAAGCTTGGAACGGCCAGGAAAGCACCTCCAGCACCCACTGCCAGGCAGCAAAAGCGCCCCCCCACCCGGAAGGGCCAGATCCCGTGACTTCTGTAATGTACAGGGATAGGTACTTGGAATTGGGGCAGTGACACTTTAATGCCCCGTACACTACATGATGTTTTGATGTGGAATACTGAAACCCCCCCAAAAAAAACCAAAAAAAAAACCAAAAAAACAAAAACAAAAACAAAAACACATAGAACCATGACATCTCCTGACAGGAGGTAAGTCTGTAACTGCAAGAACATTTCAGAAGCTAAAGCTGGAAGCTCCTGTATTTTCAGGTGAGCCGTGAGCCCCAGGAACGTTTGTTTTCTGCTGCTGAAAATTGGTTTGCTCCTCCCTTTTCCTACCACAGCCACAGGTGGTAGTCATAAACACTGGCACTGATGCACTATCATAACTGTATTGCTCTCCATAAAAAGAAACATCTCAGAGATGTGGCAGCATCATTAACAGCTGCTGACTTCTGCTCAAAAACATGACCTCAGCTGCTCTTATCCAGCTATATATATTTTAAATATTGGCATATCATAAAATAGATTTGAACTTTTTTAAAAATTGTTGATGTGATCTCTTTTCTATTCTACAATCCAAAGTGAGAAGTTCTCAGTAATGTCCATATAAAATCCTTTCATAACAAATATTTAAAACACATGTGCTAGGAAACAACATATTTGAAGAACTGAGCCCAGGCCTCAGGCTCTTCAGATTCTGCTCCCATGTGAGCTATCCTTCTCAATGCTGCTGGATTAGATTGCTCATTGACACTGACTAACAAAAACAGAAGAGGGTAACACCAGAACAATCAGACAAGCAGGAATAAAAGGCAATCAAGTCCCAGGCTTATTATTATACTTCCATTCTAATTAAGTGCTAAAACCTTTCCCAAGGAGATTGTCTGTTAATGTGATGTTTTATGCAAACTTTAAACTTGTACACCTGTCAACAATTAGCAGCTAGTTCCAGTGCCCAAAATATTGTTTGTTTCTAGACCCAATATTTATTAAGTGTTGTTACTTTTTACAATTACAGAAATCTCATTATAAGCATTTGAAAATAAATGCTCAAAGAGTTAGCAGTTTGGTATTCAAGGTAGGAAATAATTAGTACTGTATACTGCTATTCAAGATTACAAGAGACATGCTTCACTGTTAGCAATTAGCCAAAGCATTTTGATGAGGTTCTTGATAATGTTAATGTTGATTTTTTCAGTGAGAATTAGCATCCATAAAAGGTCAGTGCTTTTTTGCAAGGTAGCATCATTTGATGTTCATAAACAACTGGATTACTTTACACAAATATGAAAGATTAATGGCAATTTTAAGGAACACTTTCATTCACTATTTGTTTTTCTTCTTTTTGTTATTTGTTTTTAAAGAAAAAAAGAAAGAAAATAAAGGAAAAGAAAATAAAGGTGTGACTTGGGCACTTCAAGGCATATATCTGTAGATCATTAGCTCTTAGAGACGCCTAGAGACTCCAGGGACCTTAAACATTTAGTTCCAGAATCAATGAGTTTGTTGAACTACAACATTTTAATCACTGTTGATAAATGGGAACAATTTATTTTGAACTAATTTACATATAATATACCAATCAAGTATTTTTCTTCACATTTAAGATTTTGTAACTTTGTGCTAGCACTTACAGAGCAAGTTACACTTATTTATTAATGTTCTCTTGAAGTATTGCTTTCTTTTGGGCCTCCAGGTAAATCTCAAAGCAAGAAAAGGCATGAAACAATGAGGAAGTGACTTAATTAAGATTTATATCTGTGACAGATAAACACCCATAGATAATGGATTTTAAGTTAAATTCCCCTCTGAAGATACCTCAGTACAAACAATGGAGTTTTGCTTCTATGAAAAAACCCACAGAGCATTTGAATTTTGAATTCCTTGATGGACTTTTTGCAGTGCCTCTGAAAGGATGCTTCCCTTCAGTCAAAAAAACTAAACTGATGTCTTCACATGGTTATTTACCACCCAAAAATGCTGAGAGAATAAGCAGATATCTGCTACTTTGGGCAACTTCATCTCACATTCACAGCACAAACACATTTTACTCTTCGTGCAGCATTTTCAGAGACTCCCAGACTTTGTTGCAGGTAAAGCCCATTGGATGGCACAAGCATTTTGTTCTTTAAGTGTTTCAGCATGCCACCAAAAGAAAGGATGAAAAGTAAGCTCTAGTTGCTTTCTATTAACGAAACAGATACTCCAAGTATCACACAGTGCTATATGAGACATGCAGTAAAAAGTAGCTAAGCTCTCATTTTGCCAGTTTAGTTCAAGAAACTAGCAATATGTCTTAAATGCTATTGAAATATACTCTAATTAAAGTTGCTGGAAACAATCTTGAATTCAGTTTTTGCTGAAATTATGTGAATTTTTCAGCCTTCAAACATTTTCTTTGAATACACTTTTCTCCTTACAAATAAAAAATGTTAGCTATATAATATTAACTATATAACAGCCGTGCTATGGCAAGGATGAACCTGAAAAGCAAAAATTCAGATCCCAGGGTTTCTATGAACCACAACACCAAGAAAATCCTCCTCCCCTTTTATATTAATTCACTGCACAGACTTCAATGTAGCAGTTCACCCAGCAGGCAACTACTTGATAAGAGATACAGAAGTGTGTGGCTGATTTCTGTCTAAGACCTCTTACAAAACAGACAAAAGCACTCAGTGCATCTATTCCTGAAGTACCTTTGGAGTAATTGGCTGCATTCATGCTCCAGGGTCAGGAATTCACCTCTGTGTGATCCAGAGGGATTATTTCTTGGCTTCCTACACACCTGTTACAGCTTTGGGCCATTAGATCAGATCTGTTTTCTCCTCATTTCTTCCCTCAATTAAGCTAATAGCAAGTTTTGCTTAGAGCTGCTGGCACAAGGTGCAATTATGATGACAAAGCAGTTTCGGCAAGTTTCTGTAGCTCTAATGTATGTGGATAGCAAATCAGTTCTCACAAATCAGAGTGCCCATCAATCACAAGTTTTTCTGGATTGCCTACAGTAATTACCACTTTGTTCTTACACTGATTTTTTCCCAAATACAAGATTTTGTTACTGGTTTTCAAATTATCACTGGGGATTTGCATGCATTTTCTCCTTTCTTTATTATGTGGAAATAATGAGCACTGAAAGTATGAGAAAGAATAACTACTGAAAAGAACAACCATTAAGCCACAGTAGCTTTTGCTGTCTGGTTTAAATAACAACTGAAGTATTCGGTACCCAGAAAAATCATTTTCAAAAGCCATTTTACATATTCTTATTATTTGCATGTAGGCACATAGCACTTCCATTCTTTAATTTCTTGACTAAGGACAACAGTCACAGAAATTGTCTAGAGGACAAAAAGCTTCTGACTCTAAGTTACCCATTTCACACCTACTCCATAACCTCAGACTGCTCCCAGCTGCCCCTCCCCTGCTGCAGCAAGCAGAGCAGGTGATGTTGTCAGGCCATTGCAGAGATAATCGAAGCACATCTGAACCATAAATAAAGTCCTCATGGTAGAAAACCACAGGAGTTGCTCAGGGCTTTTGCTTTTCATCAGTGCAGCACTGTGAGATGGGTTGTGACCTTCTTGCATCTCTCCCTCACCACATCCCTCTGGGCATCCCAGCCCTTGGATGGCTACTGTTCTCCACTTCATACTGAGTTTACAGTGTATGAGGAATATTTTTAAAGATGTTGTAACACCTTAATTAAAATTCTTCATAATGTATTTAATACAGTTTTAAAAATAGTAGTAATTTCTTTTTTTAATTAAACTGTTATACAGTTTTCCCAATCAACATCATTTTTAATTTAGTTAAATAACGAGTAAAATTTGTGAACTGTCCATATGCAATTTTACTTGACCAAACCTGGTTTAAAGCATTCAAACAAAGCAAACAACAACAAAAAAAATCAATAGCAACAAAAAACAAAGTTATTTTGGTTATAAATACATAATGAATACAGTTCTAAATGGGCACAGGTGCTCTTAGACATTAGAAAGAAATTCTCTACTGAGTGGGTAGTGAGGCACTGAAACAGGTTTGCCCAGTGAAACTGTGGATGTCTCCTCCCTGGAAGCATTTAAGGCCAGGCTGAATGGGGCTTTGAAACCCTGGTTTAGTGTCCCTGCCTACAGCAGAGGGTTGGAACAAGATGATCTTAAAGGTCTCTTCCAACCCAAACTGCTCTATGATTCTAACAGCTTGACCAAGCAGAAACAGCATTAGGTTTCCTTCCAACTTCATTCTGAATATTCTTTATCAAGTCCAATACTCCAGTTAGCTTTTCTTCACTCAAATATCATCAGCTGCAATCCCCTAAAATTATTTACATTATAGTTCATCCTTTGGAATGCAATACTTGGACAGTTTCCTCAATGGAAAGGAGAATGTTTATCACATGTTTGAAAGTAGATCAGACTAGAACCCATTTATCAGTTGTGTTTTATATGTAGATTGTTAATCTCTTTAAGACTATGTGCACAAAACCACTGATATTCCTTAAGATAAACAAGTAAAAGGAAAAATATGTTTATTAATAGAGGCTGAATTTCAAAGCAAAGTCCATCACTGATCTAGCTGCATGTTTGTAAAACACTTATGTAAACATGCATCATAAAGCAATCATCTTGCAAGAACTATGTTTTTGGAAGATTTTCTGTGCAATATCTGAACATTTCAATTCTTCCTTTGTTACAGATTGTAACTTCAGTAAGCTGTGTCTTTCAATGAGCTGTAAAGTCATCTAAATAAGCCAATAGCTGGATTCTACAACACAGAAGAAATTCCTGTTTACTGCTACTCTGTTTTCTATCAAAAAGTCCACAAGCAGTCTCTTGGGTCTCTGCTAATGGGCTGAGCTCTCCAGCATGGGATAGAAAACAGTCTGCTCTTTGACACCTATGGTAAATCCATCTTTTGCATTGTTTATTGAAAAGAAGTTGAGAAGCCTATTTACTCTATGGCAAGATTATTCCATTGC